GTCTCCTCGCTACAGTTGTCACTGACCCGACCTTTGAGTCCTCTGCTGCGTCTGCTCTGGTCGCTGAGTTGGTTGACTTTGCTGCTCGCTGTCGCCTAGACTACGCTGCCAGCCTTGTCGCTAGGTCTGAGTCTGCGTCTGCCTGTCCTCCGTCCGTCGGGGGTGAGTGTGCCCTCGGCACGGACGTCCTTGAGGACAGACAGGAGGAGTTCCACTGCCTTACTGCTGCTTTGCCCCGTCTCGTGTCCTTGCTAGTTGCCCCTGAGGGAGACCCGGATGCACCAGACATCCCGACCCCACGCTCTTACGCTGAGGCGATAGCGGGTCCCTACTCCTCTCAGTGGCAGACAGCCATGGACGCAGAGATGGCCTCCTGGAAGTCCACAGGCACCTACGTAGACGAGGTTCCCCCTCCTGGGGCGAACATCGTCAGTGGCATGTGGATTTTCAGGGTGAAGCGGCCGCCGGGTTCTCCACCTGTCTTCAAGGCGCGCTACGTGGCTCGAGGCTTCAGTCAGCGAGAGGGAGTAGACTTCTTTCAGACCTTCTCCCCCACCCCGAAGATGACTACTCTTCGGGTGCTGCTGCACATAGCCGCTCACCGCGACTACGAGCTTCACTCTCTTGACTTCAGCACTGCTTTCTTGCAGGGCAGCCTGCACGAGGAGATCTGGCTGCGCCGCCCCCCTGGCTTCACTGGGTCATTTCCTCCTGGCACCCAGTGGAGGCTTCAGCGGCCGGTCTACGGTCTCCGCCAGGCGCCACGTGAGTGGCACGACACACTGAGGACGACACTTGCGGCTCTTGGGTTCGCTCCCTCTACTGCTGACCCGTCGCTGTTTCTACGCACCGACACCTCGCTGCCGCCGTTCTACATCCTCGTGTACGTCGACGACTTGGTCTTTGCCACTGCTGACACCGCGGCACTCGCTCACGTGAAGTCGGAGCTGCAGAGGAGACACACGTGCACAGACCTGGGTGAGCTGACGAGCTATCTTGGCTTGCGGATCACCCGGGACAGAGCGCGGCGCACCATCACCCTGACTCAGTCACACATGGTGCAGCAGGTTCTCCAGCGCTTCCGCTTCACGTACTCCTCGCCTCAGTCCACTCCTCTGCCTACCGGTCACTCGCTCTCAGCTCTGCCTTCGGATGAGTCCGTAGAGCCGAGTGGCCCGTATCCAGAGCTTGTGGGTTGCCTCATGTACCTGATGACCTGCACTCGACCTGACCTTGCATACCCTCTTAGCATCCTAGCACGCTATGTCGCTCCTGGCCGTCACCGGAAGGAGCACATGGATGCTGCTAAGAGGGTGTTGCGCTACTTGTGCAGTACGTCGGGCATGGGGCTTGTGCTTGGAGGGCGAGACCGGGTTGTTCTCACAGGGCACTCAGACGCTTCTTGGGCAGACGACCAGGCTACTCAGCGGTCGTCCCAGGGTTACACCTTCAGCCTTGGCTCTGGCTCAGTTTCTTGGCGTTCTACTCGCTCTTCTTCTGTTCTCAGCTCCAGTTGTGAGGCTGAGATATACGCCACAGCCATGGCTGCTCAGGAGCTACGCTGGCTGACCTACCTGCTGACCGACCTCGGAGAGCGGCCTCGTTCTCCTCCAGTGCTATACGTCGACAACAAGGCTGCCATTGCCTTGTGTGAGGAGCACAGACTGGAGCACAGAACGAAGCACATCGCTCTGCGGTACTTCCTTGCTCGAGAGCTGCAGCAGCGTGGTCAGCTTTGTCTGCGTTACGTGGCCACGGAGGCCAACACTGCTGATGTGTTCACCAAGGCGCTTCAGCCTTGTGACCATCAGCGCTTTTGCACTCTACTAGGCCTTGTACCTACTGGGCCTCACTTGCTTACCTCTTGACCTTGCTTGTACTGTGATCACTATATATATATGCCTACTTGTTTACTTTTGCTAGGTTGTGATCACTGTATCTCTTGCTTTGTTATAAACCTGCATGTGAACTGGTCTTGAGACCACTTGCTTGTGCTCGGAATTTGTGTGGAATCCTTGAGATCCACCCTGAGCTTGCTTTACTTTGCTTTGACTGGTCTTGTGACCCTGTGGTTGTCTCCCACTGCGCCTATGGGGGTGTGTCAAACATTGCATGTTTATATTGTCTAGGCTGTAGTGGGTTACACCTTAGGGGGTACACAAAGTTAGGGTTTACTACTTGTACCAAACTCTGTTCTAGTTTATTCATTCCTGCTCAGTTATTTCTGACAGTTTCTACGCACAGACACCTCGCTGCCGCCGTTCTACATCCTCGTGTACGTCGACGACCTGGTCTTTGCCACTGCTGACACCGCGGCACTCGCCCACGTGAAGTCGGAGCTGCAGAGGAGACACACGTGCACAGACTTGGGTGAACTGACAAGCTATCTTGGCTTGCGGATCACCCGGGACAGAGCACGGCGCACCATCACCTTGACTCAGTCACACATGGTGCAGCAGATCCTTCAGCGCTTCGGCTTCACTTGGTCCTCGCCACAGTCCACTCCTATGGCTATTGGTCATTCGCTCTCATCTCTGCCTTCGGATGAGTCCGTAGAGCCGAGTGGCCCATATCCAGAGCTTGTGGGCTGCCTCATGTACCTGATGACCTGCACTCGACCTGACCTTGCCTACCCTCTTAGCATCCCGGCTTTCTACGTTGCACCCGAGAGACACTGACGAGAGCACTTGGAGGCTGCTAAGAGGGTGTTGCGCTACTTGTGCAGTACATCGGGCATGGGGCTCGTGCTTGGAGGACGGGGTGAGGTTGTGCTCACTAAACACTCAGACGCGTCCTGGGTTGAAGACCTGGTTACGCAGCGGTCGTCACAGGGTTACACCTTCAGCCTTTGTTCGGCTCTGTTTCTTGGCGGTCTACCCGCTCGTCTTCTGTTCTCAGCTCCAGTTGTGAGGCTGAGATCTACGCCACAGCCATGGCTGCGCAGGAGTTACGCTGGCTCACCTACCAGCTGACCGACTTGGGAGAGAGGCGTTGTTCTCCTCTAGTTCTGTACGTAGACAACAAGGCTGCCATTACCTTGTGTCAGGAGCACAGACTGGAGCACAGAACGAAGCACATCGCTCTGCGTTACTTCCTTGCTCGAGAGCTGCAGCAGCGTGGTTAGATTTGTGTTGCTTACGTGGCCACCCAAGCCAACACTGCTGATATATTCACTAAGGCGCTTCCGTCTGGTGATCATCAGCGCTTTTGTACTATGTTAGGCCTTGTGCCTGTTTCGTCTCACTTGCTCACTTCGTGTATATATATATGTATACGTATATATATGTGTATATGTATATATATGTATATATATATATACATGCTTGCTTGCTTTTGCTCGGTAGTGATCACTGTACTGATGCTGCTCCATATATACCTCTGCATGTGAACTGGCCTTGTGGCCCTTTGCCTATGCTCGGAGTATGTGGTGATGTTGTGTTCCACCCTGAGCTTGCTTTGCTTGTCTTGACTGGTCTTGTGACCCCTTGTTCTCCCCCACTTTACCTATTGGAGGTGTCAAACTATATTTATATGTTTTAGTTGTGGGTAGGCTATAGTGGGATAGACAATGTAGGGTATAACCTCTTAGGGTTCTCTTCCTTGTACCAACTCTCTCGACACTCTACCCAAATGCTTCCTACTTCTATAACAGACGCAGGGCAGGGCGTGGGGTAGCGCGGTAACCGCAGTCGGTCACTAGCTAATGGTGGGCCCGGAAAAAAAGAAAAAAAAAAAAAGAAAAGAAAAGAAAAAAAAAAAACAACGGTCCAACGGACCTACTGCTCTGAAACCATGTCAGAAGAGTACGCGAGAATGGGTGCACTGATGAGAGAAGTGGGTACAAATGCCACCGTCATCGCCAGACCCTCAGATTCGTTTTAGGCCTGTCTGATTCATCAGACTAGTACACAATTTTAGTCTGAAAATCTCAGACTTGGTATAAAAAAAAGGCTAAAATGTCAGAGTGTCATAAAACAAAAGTCTGATCGTTCAAAGTCAATTTGTTCAATGTTTCATCGGAAGTGTATTCAATGTTTCACCCATCTGCTACCGAAACATGCTACACTAAGGGGATTTTCGATAAAACATGCTCTGACAGGGCGAATATATGTGTCAGGGCGAATCTTGTGGTGCGAAAAAGACGAATGTGCAATGTCAGGGCGATTTTGCTGTGATTGGGCGAAAATTGTGGTGCTCTGACAACGCAAATCTGTTGTGTCAGGGCGATTTTGCTATGATTGGGCGAAAATCTTGTGATGTAAAGGCTCAGATTTGCTATGTCAAGGAGATTTCGCTTTGGCAGTGCGAATCTGCTGTGACCCGTAAGTCCGAATCACCAGTCAAGGACGCGTTTGTACTCTGGACGATCATAGTACACTCTCAAAAAACTCTGAACTCTCAGAGATAGCCTTAAAAAAAGTCTGAAAATTACAGAGTTGAGGCCCAAAAAAGTCTGATTTTATCAGAGTACACAGGAAAAAAAATCTGAAATATCAGAGAAAAAAGCCCAAATCAGAGAAAAAAGTCTGACTTCTGAGGGCCTGGTCATCGCCCGGAGATAAGACAGTGTTGAATAGTAGACAGGGGTTGTCTATTATACGGGTGTCTCTTATAAACAGGCTAGCCTCATTATAAGACACCTATTTGTGTGTACGGGTTAAGAAAGTGTAGGAGTTAGGGGCAAATGTATAGCGAGGGGGTATCTTCTAAACGGTTCTTTGTCCATTTATAAGACTTATAAGACACCCTAAACCATCCCGTTTACAAGATAACTCAAGCATTTTTGCCCGTGTACGAGATAAGACATATATGTCTTATAACCGGGCGATGCTGGTAACCAGGGCTGACTTTATCAGACTAAAATAGTCTGATTGTCTGAAATTTCAGGGTATTTTCCTGTGGATCCTGATTTTTCAGAGTTGCAAGATTTTGAAACATGAGTACCTCAGACTAACTTGTTTTTGGATACTGAAAGTTTCAGAGTAGTGACTTAGCCGAAGATGGGTCTTCATACAACAGCGAGTACGGAACCTGAAATGCGGATTGCTACTCTCGACGTACCTTCCGCTACGTCATATATCTCCTGGGTACAAAAACACTTCACCCTGCTGTCACGCGCAAAATCTGTACCTGGCAACTTTTGCCACCTTTTTCCTGTAAGACTGCCAACTTGGCTCCTTGTTACACTCACACGGGAGGGACCATCGCTGTAGCTACGCTGTGTCAGCGTGGGAAACTCTCTGCTGGCGCAGCAAAGTTGGTTAGCGCTGCGCCTCACGATGTACATTCGTGGCAGTGATGTGCTGCAGTGGCAGGAAACATGCCTTGATTTTTCCCTTTGAAGTCTGAGCACTTCAGACTTGTGTTTTTGCGAAACCTGGAAAATCAGGGTAGCCAAACTCTGGGAAATGTGCCTCAGACAAAAAAAATTCAGACCCCCCAGAACATCAGACTGGTTTTTTTTGAATAGTCAGCCCTGCTGGTAACCCTAATTTGGGTTGTACCCCTTATGGGCTACCCCACTACAGCCTACAAAGCACAAGCATCATTATAGTTTGGCATAGGGTTCATACAAATATTGCAAAAAAAGTTAAGGTTTTTAGGTCTCGTATTATGGAATGCATTTGTTTGGGCAAAGTGGAAAGTTGTAATTTCGAAAAGTTCAAACTGTAATTATGTGGACGTCATTTTTTCGTACGTCTTCTGACGCTGCTGTAAGCCGATAAGCCTTTGGCGCGTTGACGGCCAACTGGATATGGCGGGGTGGGGACCACTGGCAATCAAGGGTACTATACTGTACTGACAACAGCGCCGTCATGACAATTGATCCTTCATTTTCAGCAGCCTCGGCCACAGGTTGAGGCGAGGGTATTCCATGATCGTACTCAATCAGAAGTTTGTGCTAATGCTTAGCAAGTTTCAGTAGTCCTGAGAATGCCGAATCAGCCGCTTCATGCTTGTGCTGCTTGCAAGTCGCTAAGGAAGAAGTGCACCCCCCAGTGCGTGTTTTCTCCGTACTTTCCACCAAACGAGACAGAAAAGTGGACAACAGTCCATCGTACATTCGGTGCGAGCAACATTTCGAAGATATTAACGACAGTACCGCCAGGGAAGAGAACGGCTGCAGCAAACAGGTATTGTTCTTGCATTTCTCGATACTAAGTCTCCTACCAGGCGTCTGTCTGACGTTAGCCGCTTTCTGTCTCGCAGTCTTATATTTGAAGCGGAAGCACGGCTGGCTGATCCTGTCTACGGAACTTTGCAAGTCATTCATCGGTTGGGAAGCAGGCTGTCTAGCATGGTTAAGGAGCTTCAAGCTGTCAGAGCCGAAAACGAAGAACTGCGACAGAAGTATGGACAAGTCTGTGCGTTAATGGGCATTCCAGCCAACTATCCTTATGCATCAGAAGTTGAGCAGGCCGTTCAGGAGATGGCTTCCTCCTCCTCTCCTCCGTCAGCAGTAATAGAGGACGCTGCCGCCTTGCTCAAGCATGAAGCCGCTTGACGTTATGGAGAGGAAAGTAAGTTATGCTTGACGTCTGAACAAATAAGCTGCTTGTAAATATCTAACACATGCAGTATCCCGCAGTTATTATGACTCTTACGTATTACTAAAAGTATTACGGACTGTTTGCACAAGACCCAGTGTTACAACAAGCAAGCAGAAATGACATGGGGAAGTGTATCCGTGTGAGTGGAGGCTGGAAAGTACATAGACTTCGTGCTGAAAGAAGAGTGAGGTGGGAGATATGTTGCTCATGGTAAGATATAAAGGTCAGCAGATGGAAATACTTGGTCACTGTAAAGAAGGTTAAATTATTACCAAATTCAGAGCTTATGTAAAATTCCCCGGACTGGATGCTTTGTCATGTTACCGCCTAATGGTCAAGTCTGTACACAAATGTTTACCCTCTTGCAATGCAAGTCATCACCACCGAAGCACGCTTCCGTAGGGGCGTGAAATGCGGCGCACTCAACTCGCACCCAAATCGACCACCCAGCCTACTATCACCCGTTGGCAATCTTCCGCGAACAACCGCTCGTTTTGTACCTTTGCAGCATACGTGCGGTTTTTCAGTCGGTCGTCGGCAAGTTTACGGCGTGGGTGCATACGGCGGCCATTGTTCGCGAAACATTGCCGATCGCCTTTTTAGCGGACCACCCGCAAGCGCAGCAAACTTGTGGCATATGTTCCACGCTGAGGGAAGCATGTGCGCGGACCAGACAGACTGGCGCAGAGTGCGCTTAGGTGGCGCCAGGTGGATTAGGAACCACATGTGAAGGACCAGTCGCTCATACACTCCTCGCTTCGCTCTCACGGAGTGCGCTGGGCGATCGCCCAGTCGCCCTCATATCCAACCCGCCATGCTTCGCGTGCGAACCTCCTCGTCGCTCTCCGACTCACAGTCGTCGCACCAATCGTGGCGTGGATGGCCCGCAGCCGCCTCGTCCGTGGCGCGCCGCCATGCCACGTCGCTCCGCCGCACGCTGAGCGTCACGGCGCTGCCTCTGCTGCTCTTGGCGTACGTCGCGGTTCGGCTGACAATCGCGCCGCATTATCGAAGCGCGCTGACTGAGCCCGGCTCGACGACGCGGAAGCCGCGGCGCGTGGAGGCGCTGCGAGTGTTCATCGTGCCGCTCGACCCGGCCATGAGCTTCGGGCTGCTCAATGTGCGACCTCGGGCTGATCCCACGCTCTTGCACCCATGCCATTCCCGTCTTTCGTTTGCTCCGCTCACGTTTGCGAAGGAATGCGATGTGAGTGCGCATTCACGCCCCCTTTCCCGTCCCCCTGCACCCATCCACAAGAGTGTCATGTCCCGCCCACCCCCCTCAAAGCGCATGCATCTCTCGCATGGCGAGCGTGCGTGACGGGGTGGCAGCAGGTAGGGGCTGTGGTTGTGCGAGCGCACGTCGCCGCCACGGCTTTTGTCCCACCCTGTAGTGGACTGGGGTGTCTAATCCTACACACCCGTGCTCACCCTCACTACCCCCCGCCCCCACCACCCCTCGCTGTCCATGCTCCCCCCCTTGCTTGCAGTCGTCATCACAGCTGTCGTTGAGCATCCCCGCGCGCCTGGTGCCCACGTGGAACGGAGTCACCGGCAGCAACGTCCCCCTCCCGCCCTCCCTCGCGCTCACCCCCCCTGCAGCTGCCCCCCCATTGCCCTCTGCTGCTGCGCTGGTGCAAGGCGAGGGGGGGGACGACCTGGGCACGGCAGAGGAGGGGAGCGGGGAGGAGAAGGAGGAGGAGAGGGTGAGCGTGCAGGTGGCAGCATACGAAGCAGAGCCGCATGTGTACGCATACAGTGCTGAGTACTGGCTCACACTCTCACTCTTCACAGGTGCACCCTCGCCCCTCTCCCTTGCAACTGCGCCTTCTCCCGTGCAATCGTCTTCTCCAGCACACAGGGTATGCCCCTCCACCTGTCTCTTCCGTCCCCCTCTTGCTCCCCCCCCCCCCCCCCCCCCCCTTTCATCACCTGCACGGCCCACTCCCCTCGTGCCCTCCTCCGTGCCGTGCTCCCTGCTCACTGCGCTGCCCGTGCCTGTCCTGTGCTGCACCGCACCCTGCTCTCGCCCTGCTCTCGCCCTGCTGTCGTGTGTGCGTGGCAGGGCTGCCGGCAGTGCGAGTGGTGGAGCAGCCCTCACAGGCGGACGCGCTCTTCCTGCCACTCTTCTCCTCGCTGCTGCTCCTCCGTAGGTTCGTCAACGGCGCTTGGAAGCGGGGCGTGGGGGGGATGCATGTGGGTCAGATGCGTGTGCGGGCTGCATGCTCTGCACTCATGCCATGCCCATGCACTCGCTGCTGCTCCTGTCTGCGCGGCGCCCTTCCCTACCCTCTCTACCATTCTCACTCGCGTGCTCTCCCCTTGTGTTGCGGCTCTCTCTCTCAACCCTCCACGCGCCATCCCATTCTTATCCCCGTCTGTTCTCCCCTCGTCCTCCATTCCCTCTCTTCCTCTCCCCCCCAATCCCCTTCTTCTCTCCTTCTTCCCCTTTTCCCCGGTTTCCCTTTTTTCCCCTTTCCCCTTCTCCCCCATTGCTCTGTGTGCGGCTGCCCCTGCGTGCGCCCCATGCATGTGGCATGTCCGACCTCCACGCCTCCCCCCTGCAGTGGCCCCCCCAACGCGTCGGCCGCTGTGTCGCTGCGCACGCCCCCCGCCCTGCTCGACTCCGTGCTCTCCTATGTGGCGTCGCTGCTGCAGCACCACCAGCCCGCACGAGCGCCCCTGCCGCTGCTGCTGCCTGCCGTGCATGCGCATGCGCTTGCGCCCGCCAAGCTGCAGCTCGCCTCCGCTCGCTTCTTCCTCGCCGACTTCCGCCACTCCAGCCCCCAGGTGACCCACGCATGTGGGCATGCAGGCCAGGGGACACACAGAAGGGCAGGACAGGTTGAGGGGGGACGAAAGGACAGAAAGGAGACTTGTGGTGACATATGTATGTGGATTAAGGTAGGAACACCAGTAGCAGCGGCGGGTACTGGTGTTGAGGGTGAGTGCACAGCACGGTAGGGCAGCACGCTGTGATTGACTCTACTCCAAGGCCCCCTGTGTTCCCGCACCCGCTCCTCATGCTCTCGCCCCTTCCTGCCTCCCGTTCCTCCCTCCCCTTCTCCCCCGTCCCCCATGCCTCATTGCCGTGTGCGTGTGGGTGCGGTGAGCAGGCGGTGAGTGTGGGCAAGGACGTGCTGGTGCCGCTGGCGTCGCCCGTGCCGCCGGTGCTGGACGACACAGGCGAGTGGGCCCACCGCCCCACCCTCGCCTTCTTCCACGGCCCCCCCCAGGTCAGCAGCGTGCGGGGCACCTTAGGCAGTAGCGAGATGAAGAGAAGGGGGATGGCAAGGGTGAGCTGGGAGGTGTATGAGGAAGACAGAGCGACTTGTTGTCCGATCACGAGTGCCTGTGTGCTTCTGCTCTCCGCAGGCTGTGCGTCTAGACTCGTGCGTTGGAGGCGCATCGGAAGTGGGCACGCAGATGCTGGCTGGGCAGGCAGCTGGGGTGCCATGTGTGCACTGCGGTGCGGGGCACGTGTGTGCCTCCCTGCTCTACTCCATGCCATTGCATCACAAGCCACCTCTTGCATGCCCTCTCCCGTTTCCCCTCTCCTCTCCCCCCCCGCCCCCGCTCCTGCCCGTGCTGTGCATGTGTGTGCCGTGCAGACGCAGGAGCGGGTGCGGCTGGCAGCGGTGCTGGCGGGCAGCATGGACTTCGAGGTGACGGTGTGGGGCGACGTGCACAGCAACGAGCAGCACGCGCGGGAGAGGGCCAGGGAGCTGCACGGCATGCGCACCGCCAAGTTCTGCCTCCTGCTGCCGGGTCAGCACATCCCTCACACCCGCTCCTTGCCTCTGCACCTCACCCCAGTGCTCTCCCTTTCATCCCCTTCCATCCCCTTTCATCCCCTTCCATCCCTTGCCATCCCCTTCCATCCCCTGCCATCCCTGCACTCCACTGCACCCGCCCCCGTCTGCTCATGTGCGATCCCCCCGTGCTGCCCTGCACGCATGCGTGTGTGCCTGCGTTCCCAAGCTTGTGTACCCTGCGCCCCTGTGTGCATGCATGCCTGTGCCGCTGTGAGCACGAGCAGGTGAGCTGCCATGGTCAGCGGGGGTGGGTGACGCCATGATGAGTGGGTGTGTGCCGGTGCTGCTGCTGCCAGCCACGCTGCCCGCCCCTCCATTGCCCCTGGAGGCGTCTGTGCCGTACGAGGAGTTCTCGCTGCTGCTGCCGCTGCCCCTGGCCTTGCGCCCGCGCTACCTGCTGGAGGCGCTGGGCGTCATCAAGCGCCACCACTGGCTGCGCATGTGGCAGCGCCTGCGCGAGGTGAGCGGGGGGACGTGGGGCGGGCGTGGCAGAGGGAGAAGAAGGGCTTGAGGGCGGGGCCTGCGGAGGGAGAGGTGTGGCAGGGGCTGGAGGTAGGGGTAATCAGGGTTGAGGGAAGGGGAAGAGGGTTGGGACGAAGGGAAGGTGGGGGGGGATGAGGGACACTGAAGAAGAGAGGTGCGTGATGAATGGTGGTAGAGGCACGTGAGGGTGAAGTGCAGCAGTCGGCATGGGCGAGCTCGTAGGTGCTGAGGGGCACGCCTCTGCATGCTTGCTGTTGACGCGCCTCAACATGGGGCTGGGAGTGACGCATTATAGATTCTCTGCACCCGTCATGCCAGTGATGCCAGTGATGCCAGTGATGCCAGTGATGCCAGTCCCACAACCACCATTTCTCCTTGTGTACACATGTTTGACCTGTCATGTGCTTGAGCCGTGTGGGGGTGCACGGGGCAGTACCGAGAGAGTGTGATGTATGGCCGTGCAGGCAAGCAGGCTATGAACGGAGCGGAGGAGCTGCTGTGGGAGGACATGACTTTCCGGGTGAGGCATGGTCAGGAGCCGAGGGAGGGTGAGGAGAGGAGGAGGAAGAGGCAGGAGGAGGTGAGTGCGCTGCTGGTAGCGGCGCGGAAGGCACCTCTGCCGGACACGGGGGAACAGCTGTCACCTGCGGATTATAGCTGACGCGGTCCAAGGGACGGGCCTCGAGTCAGTCTAATAAAAACAGGCTTCATACCGTCATCGCCCGAATATAAGACATATAGGTCTTATACACTAGAAAGAATGTTAGGGTTGTCTTGTGGTATTTGGGGAGGTTTTGGGTGTCTTATAAGTCTTTTAAATGAAAACATTTTGAACACTTGCGAGAAATTTTCACACATCTAGGAATGTGGATGTTGCAAAGGTTCCTATTTCGGCAACCATTGTTCGGGAGGCCACGTTGTTAGAGTGAGTAGGCAGAAATGATGCAAGTATCGAGAGAGTTTGGTACAAGTGTGAAAACCTGAAGGGGTTGTACCTCACATTGGCTACCCCACTACAGCCTACACCTAATCATAATAACATATATAGTTTGACACACCCCCATAGTGGGGGAGAACAAGGGGTCACAAGTGTCAGAGGTCCACTGGTGATCCCCGATTGATCCTAGGGAAGGGTTACAGGCACGTCGGCCTGGGCGTTTATAGGCGCACTCACCCGCTACACAAACAAGCCCTTTTATTCCAGTGGTTAGTGGCTGGGATTCTGACATGGTATCAGAGCGAAGGTCTCGGGTTCGAATCCCGGTGTGTGCACTTCGGGCATCCCAGTGCGGGGGGGAGGGGGGGGGTGTTAGAGGTCCAGTGGTGATCCCCGATTGATCCTAGGGAAGGGTTACAGGCACGTCGGCCTGGGGGGTTATGGGCGCACTCACCCGCTACACAAACAAGCCCTTTTATCCCAGTGGTTAGTGGCTGGGATTCTGACAACAAGACCAGTCAAGAAAAGCAAAGCAAGCTCAGGGTGGACCACAACGTCACCACACACTCCGAGCACAGGCAAAGGGCCATAAGCAGGGCTCTCGTTATCAGACCAAATTGGTCTGATGGTATGATTTTTTGACCTAGATTTTTGCTTGCGTCTGATCTTAAAGACGATGCTTTTTATTTCATCTGATCCGTAAGATGACTGATTTTAGTTCATCTGATAATTCAGAGCAAGCGCTATACTTAGTCTGAAATTTCAGGTAACGAGTTGCTTTTCGTCTGATACCGACCCCCCCTTTCCCCCCCGATCTCTCGCTACTCTACCAGCTCAGCCCCCCCTTCTGTGCCCTCCCGCCCCTTCCAGGCCTAGTCCTGTCCAAACCTTCTCCCCCTTCCCCCAACCTGAGGTCTCCAGTTCTCGCTCCCAGCCAAGCCCGCTTTCATGACCCTCGTAATGTCTCGCAGCCCAGCCCCCCTTTCGTTCGCGTCCCTCCACCTCCACCCACCCTGATTCCTTGCGTCGCAGCCCCTCATTGTCACGTGCGTGCCCCTCAACAGCCACACGGCTGTCAGCTAGCGAGATGTCAGCACCGCGCCAGGGGTGCGTTCATTAACGAAACAAGCGTGATTATGCTAGACAAGTGTGTTAGCTAAATCAGACCGTGTCGTATGAAGAATCAGACTAAGCTTCAACATTCGTCCAAAAAAATCAGACCAACAAAATATGCCCGTCTGAACGTCAGACGGAAAGGTTTTTTTACTTAGGTATGTCAGACAAGTCCAAATCCTAGCAGGAGCCCTGGCCATAAGGCCAGTTCACACGCAAAGGTATATATGGAACAGCAACAGTACAGTGATCACTACCTAGCAAGAGCAAGCAAGCAGGTATATATATAGATCACAGTACAAGCAAGGTCACGAAGTGAGCAAGTGAGACGAAACAGGCACAAGGCCTAACATAGTACAGAAGCGCTGATGATCACCAGACGGAAGTGCATGATGAATATATCAACAGTGTTGGCCTTGGTGGCCACGTAAGCAACACGAAGCTGACCACGCTGCTGCAGCTCTCGAGCAAGGAAGTATCGCAGGGCGATGTGCTTCGTTCTGTGCTCCAATCTGTGCTCCTGACACAAGGTAATGGCAGCCTTGTTGTCTACGTACAGAACTGGAGGAGAACGAGGCCTCTCTCCCAAGTCGGTCAGCAGGTAGGTGAGCCAGCGTAACTCCTGAGCAGCCATGGCTGTGGCGTAGATCTCAGCCTCACAACTGTAACTGAGAACAGAAGATGAGCGAGGGTCACAACCAAGGCTGAAGGTGTAACCCTGTGACGACCGCTGCGTAGCCAGGTCGTCAAACCGAGACGCGTCTGAGTGTCCAGTGAGGACAACCTCACCCCGTCCTCCAAGCACGAGCCCCATGCCCGATGTACTGCACAAGTAGCACAACACCCTCTTAGCAGCCTCCCAGTGCTCTCGCCGGTGTCTCCCAGGCGCAACGTAGCGAGCCATGATGCTAAGAGGGTAGGCAAGGTCAGGTCGAGTGCAGGTCATCAGGTACATGAGGCAGCCCACAAGCTCTAGATACGGGCCACTCGGCTCTACGGACTCATCCGAAGGCAGAGCTGAGAGCGAGTGACCGATAGCCATAGGAGTGGACTGTGGCGAGGACCAAGTAAAGCCGAAGCGCTGAAGGACCTGCTGCACCATGTGTGACTTAGTCAGGGTGATGGTGCGGCGTGCTCTGTCCTGGGTGATCTGCAAGCCAAGGTAGCTGCGCAGCTCACCCAGGTCTGTGCACGTGTGTCTCGTCCACAGCTCCGACTTTACAAGGGCGAGTGCCTCAGTGTCAGCAGCAGCAAATACCAAGTCGTCGACGCACACAAGGATGTAGAAAGGCGGCAGCGAAGTGTCGGTGCGCAGAAACAACGACGTGTCTGCAGTGGAAGGGGCAAACCCGAGAGCCGCAAGTGTCGTTCTCAGTGTGTCGTGCCACTCACGAGGCGCCTAGCGGAGACCGTAGACTGGCCGGCGGAGGCTCCACTAAGTACTTGGAGGGAACGACCCAGTGAAGCCAGGTGGGCGGCGCAGCCAAATCTCCTCGTGCAGACTGCCCTGTAAGAAGGCTGTGCTGAAGTCCAGAGAGTGAAGCTCGTAGTCACGCTAAGCGGCAACGTGCAGCAGCACCCGAAGAGTGGTCATCTTCGGGGTGGGGGAGAAGGTCTGGAAGAAGTCAACTCCCTCTCGCTGACTGAAGCCTCGTGCAACGTAACGAGCCTTGAAGACACGCGGAGAACCCGGCGGCCGCTTCACCCTAAGAACCAACATGCCATCAACGATGTTCGCCCCAGGAGGGGGAACCTCATCGACGTAAGTGCCTGTAGACTTCCAGGATGCCATCTCTGTGTCCATGGCTGTCTAGCACTGAGAGGAGTAGGGACCCGTAATCGCCTCTACGTAAGAGCGCGGGGTCGGGATGTCAGGAGCATCCGGGTCTCCCTCAGGGGCAAGCAGCATGGCCATGTGATGAAGTGCAGAAGCCGCAAGACACTCAAAGTCCTCCTGCCTGTCCTCAAGGACGTCCGTGCCAAGAGCACACTCACCCTCGACGGACGGAGGACAGACAGACTCAAACTCAGCAACAAGACTAGCGGCGTAGTTGAGGCGACAAGCATCAGCAAAGTCAACAAGCTTAGAGACTAAGGCAGACAGAGCAGTAGACTCAAACGACGGGTCAGTGACAACAGTGGCTAACAGACGCATGACAGTAGGGTGAGCAGCACGAAACAGGTCAGACTCAGGGTCCGGAACGTCAGGCAAGGAAGATGCAGGAGGGGACGGCAGGGGAACACGCTGTGGAGCAGAGGAAGGACGCAGTGCCATAGCGTGCATGCAAGGGACAGGAGGCGGACGCTCACGAGGAACACGACGACCAGTGCGACTAGTGCGAGTAGGTGAGGCAGGACGAGACGCAGGCTCACGACGCTCTGCAGGCTCACGACGCTCTGCAAGCGAGTCTGTCTGCTCAAGGTAAGGAGAACGAGCAGGTAGTGGGGAGCCGGGCTGTAACGGGAGGCCAGTAGAAGACGTGAGGCTCAGTACCTTCGGCAGCAGCACCACCAAAACCAGCACAGCCAGCACTAGGGTCTCCAACTCCAGAGTCGACAGCACCAGCTCCAGGGCCTCCAGCCCCAGTACCTCCAATGGCAGCACCCCCAGGGACCGGCACCTCCAGCTCCAGGGTCTCCAGCCTCAGTACCTCCAGCAGCAGCACCTCCAGAACCGGCACCTCCAGCTCCAGGGTCTCCAACTCCAAGGTTGACAGCACCAGGGCCTCCAGTTCGAGTGCCTCCAGCTCCGGCACCTCTAGCAGCAGCGCCTCCAACTCCAGTAGCGCGACTCCGAGGGCGGGTGCGCGAAGCAAGCCACTCATGTAGCTGCTGTCGCATGAAAGGTGACCGCCGCTCTAGCAGTAGACTCAACACCCCTAGAACTAGCACCTTCAGCTCTAGCAGTACCACAAGTCCTGGCAGTTTCAGTACCTCCAGTACGAGCACGTCCAGAACCAGAAACACCAGCACTCCCAGCGTCTCCATGACCAGTAGCTCCAGCAGCTCCAGCAGCAGCACCTCGAGCAGCAGGACCTCTAGCTCCAGCAGCAGAAAGAGGAAACCCGGAGGAACGCCACTAGACTCAGCACCCCCGGACCCAGTACCCTCTGGCTCAGCACCCCAGGCTCCGCACTCGCAGGCTCAGCACCCCCAGGCTCCGCACCCCAAGCACCTCACGCACAGGCTCAGCACCCCCAGACGCAGCACCCCGAGCAGCACCACCCCCAGCAGCACCAGAGTCAACCGTAACCTGCTGCAGATGCGGCGAAGACGGTCGAGGTGGAAAATCCGAAGGGGTCGCCAAGCGTGGTGAGCGGCGGGGGGGCACCGCGTCGTCAGCAACAACGTCACCCCCCTCAGCTGGGCCAGAGGTGTCGGAAGTGACCTCGAAAGGCT